TGATTGAATTCCCCAACAAAGCCCCTCGAGACGAAGGAAGGATTATCTTCAATATTTCCAAAATCTAAAGTTATACCTTGTTTTTTAGTTTGATGACAGATCATCATTTTTCATACGAAAGTCATGTAAAAGTCGAGAAATCTTAAAAAGGAAACAAGAAAGTTCACGACCTTGACATGACATTGATGATCACTAAGTTAGTAAAATGTCGAAACAAAACTCTGAAACGTGATCATTTCCTTCATTCATTATGGACTTTTTTGAGATAATATTAGCTTAGTATGATGTGGGAAGCACCCACTGATAGATATTCATCGGGAGGATGCATCGATTTACAAAATGCGTCATGTTTTCTGCATTTTAGCGTAAGAACTCTATTATCGCCCACTATATTTCTTTGGAAATTTGATTTTTTTCTGATATATTCGTTAATACTAGGTCATTCCTCGTTATTTCTTGAGCTCTGTGAAGCAGGGTGGGCGCTTATTAGGGATGGGCCCTTAATACGGCGATTATGGTATTAGCCTATATAGTTTTCAAATCATATCAAATCTTCTGACAAACAAAAAAAAAACTATCACAAAGTGCACACTTTTCAAAATATCAACTGAAAGAAAAATAGTATTTGCATCTGAAATCTTCATTAACTTGAAAATCTAATCAGCGATCTCAAATCATTTTCAGATTTTTATAAAAACATGTTTAAGAAAATATTATGTTCAACATTTTTTTTATACTTGCTTCTACAGCTGCTACTTTAATAAAACGCACCATTTTATTCTACAACGCAAATATTACTTTTTTATTAGCATGTGCCTACATAGATATATTATAAATCAGTCTGGTGCAGATAAGGTGTTAACCCATTACGATGCGTGAATATGGGTGGGTGGTATGAAATTTGTGGTGATATGAGACAATTTATTGTATTCTTTACTGATTTCTTTGTATTAGAAATAGTTTGTTTATTTTTGTTTCTGTGTCATAACAATCCGTCCTCAGACAAATAATCCTAAAATGTGACAAGACCATAAACAAGACACACAGAGACACATGAATTGAACAGATGAGTGTTTTTCCTGGATAACAACATTTATATGGTGCCTACCAATCACACACTGGCACATAAGTACACCCATTTGTCCAGATGCACATTTGCCCATCAAGATATCGACAATATAGCTCTTTTTCAATATTTTCACATCTAAAGTACACCATGCATGCATGGCATGTGTGCCTCAATCCTACTATACCCTGACACCATGCTGAAGAATGGGAAACAGACCACATTTCTGCCACTAAGGCAGGGTTCAAACGCATGTGTGCCTCAATCCTACTATACCCTGACACCATGCTGAAGAATGGGAAACAGACCACATTTCTGCCACTAAGGCAGGGTTCAAACGCATGTGTGCCTCAATCCTACTATACCCTGACACCATGCTGAAGAATGGGAAACAGACCACATTTCTGCCACTAAGGCAGGATTCATAAGCACGTGTGCCTCAATCCTACTATACCCTGACACCATGCTGAAGAATGGGAAACAGACCACATTTCTGCCACTAAGGCAGGGTTCAAACGCATGTGTGCCTCAATCCTACTATACCCTGACACCATGCTGAAGAATGGGAAACAGACCACATTTCTGCCACTAAGGCAGGGTTCAAACGCATGTGTGCCTCAATCCTACTATACCCTGACACCATGCTGAAGAATGGGAAACAGACCACATTTCTGCCACTAAGGCAGGGTTCAAACGCATGTGTGCCTCAATCCTACTATACCCTGACACCATGCTGAAGAATGGGAAACAGACCACATTTCTGCCACTAAGGCAGGATTCATAAGCACGTGTGCCTCAATCCTACTATACCCTGACACCATGCTGAAGAATGGGAAACAGACCACATTTCTGCCACTAAGGCAGGGTTCAAACGCATGTGTGCCTCAATCCTACTATACCCTGACACCATGCTGAAGAATGGGAAACAGACCACATTTCTGCCACTAAGGCAGGATTCATAAGCACGTGTGTCTCAATCCTCCTATAATCTGACACCATGCTGAAGAATGGGAAACAGACCACATTTCTGCCACTAAGGCAGGATTCATAAGCATGGGTGCCTCAATCCTTCTATACCCTGACACCATGCTGAAGAATGGGAAACAGACCACATTTCTGCCACTGAGGCAGGATTCATAAGCATGTGTGCCTCAATCCTTCTATACCCTGACACCATGCTGAAGAATGGGAAACAGACCACATTTCTGCCACTAAGGCAGGGTTCAAACGCATGTGTGCCTCAATCCTTCTATACTCTGACACCATGCTGAAGAATGGGAAACAGACCACATTTCTGCCACTAAGGCAGGGTTCAAACGCACGTGTGCCTCAATCCTTCTATACCCTGACACCATGCTGAAGAATGGGAAACAGACCACATTTCTGCCACTAAGGCAGGGTTCAAACGCATGTGTGCCTCAATCCTTCTATACTCTGACACCATGCTGAAGAATGGGAAACAGACCACATTTCTGCCACTAAGGCAGGGTTCAAACGCACGTGTGCCTCAATCCTTCTATACCCTGACACCATGCTGAAGAATGGGAAACAGACCACATTTCTGCCACTAAGGCAGGGTTCAAACGCATGTGTGCCTCAATCCTTCAATACCCTGACACCATGCTGAAGAATGGGAAACAGACCACATTTCTGCCACTAAGGCAGGGTTCAAACACATGTGTGCCTCAATCCTTCAATACCCTGACACCATGCTGAAGAATGGGAAACAGACCACATTTCTGCCACTAAGGCAGGGTTCAAACGCATGCGTGCCTCAATCCTTCTATACCCTGACACCATGCTGAAGAATGGGAAACAGAACACATTTCTGCCACTAAGGCAGGGTTCAAACGCATGTGTGCCTCAATCCTTTTATACCCTGACACCATGCTGAAGAATGGGAAACAGACCACATTTCTACCACTAAGGCAGGGTTCAAACGCACGTGTGCCTCAATCCTCCTATACCCTGACACCATGCTGAAGAATGGGAAACAGACCACATTTCTGCCACTAAGGCAGGGTTCAAACGCATGTGTGCCTCAATCCTTTTATACCCTGACACCATGCTGAAGAATGGGAAACAGACCACATTTCTGCCACTAAGGCAGGGTTCAAACGCATGCGTGCCTCAATCCTTCTATACCCTGACACCATGCTGAAGAATGGGAAACAGACTACATTTCTGCCACTAAGGCAGGGTTCAAACGCATGGGTGCCTCAATCCTTCAATACCCTGACACCATGCTGAAGAATGGGAAACAGACCACATTTCTGCCACTAAGGCAGGGTTCAAACACATGTGTGCCTCAATCCTTCTATACCCTGACACCATGTTGAAGAATGGGAAACAGACCGCATTTCTGCCACTAAGGCAGGGTTCAAACGCATGTGTGCCTCAATCCTTCAATACCCTGACACCATGCTGAAGAATGGGAAACAGACCACATTTCTGCCACTAAGGCAGGGTTCAAACGCATGCGTGCCTCAATCCTTCTATACCCTGACACCATGCTGAAGAATGGGAAACAGACTACATTTCTGCCACTAAGGCAGGGTTCAAACGCATGGGTGCCTCAATCCTTCAATACCCTGACACCATGCTGAAGAATGGGAAACAGACCACATTTCTGCCACTAAGGCAGGGTTCAAACGCACGTGTGCCTCAATCCTTCTATACCCTGACACCATGCTGAAGAATGGGAAACAGACCACATTTCTGCCACTAAGGCAGGGTTCAAACGCACGTGTGCCTCAATCCTTCTATACCCTGACACCATGCTGAAGAATGGGAAACAGACCACATTTCTGCCACTAAGGCAGGGTTCAAACCCATGGGTGCCTCAATCCTCCTCTACCCTGATACCATGCTGAAGAATGGGAAACAGACCACATTTCTGCCACTAAGGCAGGGTTCAAACGCATATACCAAGATGTGCCCCTTGTGGTGACATGTAAAATCCTCAAAATAAATATGAAATTCTCTCACAAGTAATAAATTTTCCCATGATTTAGTGAGTCAACAAATCATACTTAGGAATACCCGAAGATCTAAAGATATAGGTTAATAATATATGTCAGGATGTCTATTAAAACTAGAGTCAATGACCGCATTATTGGACGATACAATGTGTAGGGTTGGCAACCTACATACGTCATGTTGACCTTCATCAATCAAATCTCCCAAAGACAAAGTGCAAAACAATGTATTCTGATGTGTCATAGAAGACACAAAACAGTGAAATGGGCAATACAGACTTGAAGACAATATTGTAAGGAAATGTATGAAGATGATATACTTCATTCAAAAGTCATGTAGAAAGGATGTGAAATAAGAATGTCAAGGCAAAAGATCACATCACAGAATGCCACGAGCGAGTCTGCTCAAAAGTAGTTTTCATTAACAAATGACATTTTCTGTCCTCTATTCTATTTCATCCTCTAAGCCATGGAGCTAAATCAACACAAGAAAATGTTTGAAGTGTTAATATGTCTTACTTTAGGAGTAATTCTCTAAATTGTGTTAGAGAATGCCACAGAATATTACTGTCCAGACATCTATATTGGGTAACCTATTTAGGAAATGTGAGTCAGAAAACGTTTGTTCTTGGAAAATATGATTTCAATTTTGAGTCAAGATTATTTTTTGCATCTTCACCTAAATAAAATCGCCCATAAAGGAGATGTATTAAGTGAATTAAACTATTTAACCAATCATCAAAAACTCATTTTAGCTTTTATTTCTTCATAGCGACAAATGTTGAATATCTGATTTGTTATTTGAAAAGTAAATGAGGATTTATCAAAATAAAAATTGAAAACTGAATTGGGTACACAGACTTGAGTAATATCGATATAACAAGTACAATAAATCCTCATTTGAAAAATTATCAATAGCCATGTGCCAAATGGATATGAACCAAATGATTTCTTACTTTTCCAGCTTTACAATGTATGGCGGCCACATTTTTCTCATCTTTACGTAGCCATTTGTCGACATCTTCACAAAATGAAGGGATTAACTCAAGTTGAGGAGGGTGATGGTCATCAAATGCATATTTTGCTACGCGAGAGTGGAATTTCGTCTCGTCGTACTCTCTTTCTGAACATCTAGAAATAAAATTAAAACACCTTGAAGCAATATAAACGAGAAATGGATGAATGCCCATCTTTGAAAATAAGGGATCAAGTAACATAATAAAGTTGACAAGAATAGTTCAATAGAAGTAAATATACATAAAATGAAGTAAATATACATTTCATTATTTTTTGGTGAGCTATTATGACAAGAACTTAATATAGTTTTTATTCCACGAAAAATAAACGTTTTTTTAAGTGCAAAATGGTGATCCAGAATTAATATGTTTTGTTTTCTATGTGTTTTAATAAGTCAATCCACCCGTTGTTACACAAATATTATTTTGGTTATTGTTTTTAGGGGTTTATACGTATACTTAAGGTATAAGGGACTCTTAATCTTAATTTATAATACTCACAAATTGTAGACTTTATAATGATCTTTGTGCTTCTGTTCTAAAAATCTACAAAGAGAGAAAATATTAATTAAATTATAAAATCATTATCAAACATTAGACATTGACATGAAAAATGTCACTACCTGCCATATGTTACAGATGCCAAACTCCAACTGTCAAAACCAATCACTGAACACCGTCAACAAAAAGTTGAAAACCATAACAAATGTCATCGTTTGTGGTCATGGCATAATTATTCAAAAATCAAGTGCATATCACAAGATAAGACTTAGTGACGCTTAATTGATCTTTCATCATAAGGAAGGCAAACACACTTACAAGGCAATTGAAATTCAATTATGAAAAAATTAAGTCTCAGTGATTCATTGATTTCCTAATACACATACCAATTTTGCATTAAAAATTAAAAATTTTGCATTTTGTTTGAAAAATATACTATTTCTATTTAAATGAATTGAGAAAACGGTATATTACAATAGGTCTATTTGGGTGTAGAGGCATAAAAGAGAGAATCAGATCTAGCGAGCAGGCCAACAAAAAATTGTTTCGATTTTAGAAAATGTCTGGCTCATGTCGGCCTTGTCATGTCTATTCTCTAAAAATCCCCATAGTGCACACTTTATTTATTATTTCAGGAAAACTAAAGATTTTTTCAATAAGGTGTCATTTTTCTATTATGTATGGTTACCATTCTTATTATTTTGGAGAATTTAAACATATTTCACCCATTTTTGAACTTTGAATCCATAATAACTTCACCAATTTATAACTTATCATGAATCTTTTGGGAGATATTGTATTTGAGATTGTAAAGAATAGATTAATAGGTCAATTGTACATGTTGCTTGTAATTTTTTCACCCCTATAGATCTGATTCTGCCTTTAAAATACATATGCATCTTCATACATTATACACAGCATGTACAGTAAAACCTGTTAGTTGAACACTTTTAGTACCTCTAAAAGGTGTTCCACTAAGGAGATGTTCTACAAAAGGTTCATTTAACAATAATTCAGATCGTCTTTGGACTCTGAAAGGTGTTACTCATAGAAGGACATTAAACATTAAGTCAGATTGTCTTTGGACTCTGAAAAGTGTTCTACTAACATAGGTGTTCCACTTCTAAATGTTCAACTTTAAAGGTTTCATTATATATATTTCTTACCTGACCACATCTTCTATATGGTTCCGATAGACTCCCTCTAACTTCTCTGCTGGAAAGCCCATAGCTATCAAGTTAGGTCTTATATCTGACACAAGGTTAAAGAAAAGATTTGAGTTTCAACTTTGGACATTCTTTTTATTCGTAATACAAAAAGTATGACAAAGGGTCTATATTTCAGCATTTCCTGCAGGATTATGCAAGAAAATATGTGAGCTAATCAAAATATCCCAATATTTCTGGGGTAAATAGCTAAGTACATGCACTAATTCTCCTTTAAGGAAGCAAAAAATTTGGTCGCGGTAGAAATGAAATTCTGTCGTCAATGCTGGAAAACTGATTTTGAAGACAATCCATCAAAATAAGGAAGTATTTCTCATAAAAGGTGAACGATGGCTAAAATGGCAGAAAATAAAAAAAATGGGTGTAATTTTTGCCAATTTTTGTAACAAAATTATTTCATACAACTACTGTTTACAGTGACATGGCTTTTTACAATGCAGGACACCTGGAATTATTTGTAAAGTTAGGAAATAGACCATAAGTGAATTTCGCAAAGACAAAAATGGCGACCATTTTGAAAATAGGCGAGCTTTTGAACCAGGAGTCATAGGGGAGTTTTCTGTATTGATGTTGAACAAATATAACTTAAAACGGGAATCCTATTGACACAGGTTTTAAAGCAAATGGTCTAAAAGTGAATTTCGCGAGACAAAAATGGCGGCCATTTTGAAAATAGGCGAGCTTTCGAACCAGGAAGCATAGGGGGATTTTCTATATTGATGTTGAACAAAAATAACTTAAAACAGGAATCCTATTGACAGAGGTTTTAAAACTGGCCAATTGTTGACAGACGGACAGACAGACAGACGGACTGATGGACAGACAGATGGACAAGTGAGTGATTGCAATAGCTCACCAGGAATAAAGTTGGACCTGTAAAAATGTATTCATTTCACGTGGAGGGGTTCAACTTCAGAGGTTCTATTGTATAAAAGGGTGTTATTCAAAAATGTCACTTTGACGAGTATAAAATGAGTTAAGCCCATAGAGATAACCTTTTCAAAAAAGACAAGGCAACCATGGTATTTGTTCTCATTTTTTGTATCAAAATTACATTTGGCTAAACTCCGAGAATTCTTCATAGAAAAACAAGAAAGCTTAAAAGGGTAGTACATTTAAGCTAGTAATTTCTATTTTTGTATGGGCTTTATAAATGTCACTTTTACAATCAAAGACACTTAGAAAATGTCAATATTAAAACACAAAACTTATTTCAAGTTTTTTTCAATGTACTGTACATACATATTTAGCAATTTACATGTACAGCAAATAGAGAGAGGTATATTTTTAAATACTTTCATTTCAAATATATCCACTTTCTCAACTACTTGAAGAAGATCTTTATGTTTTATATCAGTATATCTAGAATTGTTTCGGTACAAAATTATTAAAATAGGTAATATTTTTCACATTTGTATGTATAATATATGTATAAATATCCACAAATATAAATACGGTATGATGTTAAGAATGACATGAGAAATCAATTCTGCTAATGAATTAAGACAACAAATTCCGTCATTCTCTTTATTTCTTCCTGTTCTGAAATTAGTAATACAAGTACAATAAAACCTTTATATATGAACACCTCCCCAATCTGAACACCTCCCCAATCTGAACACCTCCCCAGTCTGAACACCTCCCCAATCTGAACACCTCCCCAATCTGAACACCTCCCCAATCTGAACACCTCTCTAATCTGAACACACCTCCCCAATCTGAACACCTCTCCAATCTGAACACCTTCCCAATCTGAACACCTCCCCAATCTGAACACCTCCCCAATATGAACACCTCCCCAATATGAACACCTCTCCAATCTGAACACCTCCCCAATCTGAACACCTCCCCAATATGAACACCTCCCCAATCTGAACACCTCTCCAATCTGAACACCTCTCTAATCTGAACACACCTCCCCAATCTGAACACCTCTCTAATCTGAACACCTCTCCAATCTGAACACCTCTCCAATCTGAATACCTCCCCAATCTGAACACCTCCCCAATCTGAACACCACCCCAATCTGAACACCGCCACAATCTGAACACCTCCCCAATCTGAACACCTCTCTAATCTGAACACACCTCCCCAATCTGAACACCTCCCCAATCTGAACACCTCTCCAATCTGAACACCTCCCCAATCTGAACACCGCCACAATCTGAACACCTCCCCAATCTGAACACCTCTCTAATCTGAACACACCTCCCCAATCTGAACACCTCCCCAATCTGAACACCTCTCTAATCTGAACACCTCTCCAATCTGAATACCTCCCCAATCTGAACACCTCCCCAGTCTGAACACCTCTCTAATCTGAACACCGCCACAATCTGAACACCTCCCCAATCTGAACACCTCTCTAATCTGAACACACCTCCCCAATCTGAACACCTCCCCAATCTGAACACCTCTCTAATCTGAACACCTCTCCAATCTGAATACCTCCCTAATCTGAACACCTCCTCAATCTGAACACACCTCCCCATCTGAACACCTCCCCAATCTGAACACCTCTTCATGTGAACATCTTTTTTCAGTCCCATCTGCCAAAGATAACCATGTTAATAAAGACCTTGAAATTTGAACACCTACCAATCTGAACACATTTGGCCAGTACCAGTTGTGCTACGATTAGATAGGTATTACTGTATGTAAAAAGAAAGGAGTTGTGATGCCTCATAATGATTATGTAGCCCCCCCCCCCTTGTAAATGTATACCAGGAAGCATACCAAGGTCACAGCAAAGGAATGTACTCAAAATTCTTTAACAGTGCCAATAAACCATGACAGGCTCTCATTTATCTCATGATGTCATTTTTTTCTAAATGGATATCCAATCAGAATATGATAATTATCTCATGATATCTAACGATTGATGCATACTGAATTGGTGCTCTTTATCATAAACATTAAATAATAGTTACTTCATTAACAAATGACATTTCAATTTTATTGTGAATAGCTTTAACAAGCTGGGCCTGAAAATAAAATACCATCCGTGATATAATCTCTAAAAATAGTCAGTATGCGATATAATAAGGGACGAAAAAAATGAACCCAAAACTCTAAATCTATACAGAAATGTAGCAATTAACTAATCAATTGAATTAGAATCACACATGTAAAAAACAGACCGTGGTTATGAGAAACTCTTAACACAGGGAGATACCTATTATGAAAATAATAGAGACATTAAATGAGAATGATTGCTGGTAGAAGAGAGACTGATAATGTCTAAATTGTATTATTGCTTGAGTGCTCAATGTATTTTAAGCACATACTTGTCTCTTCTATCCAGCTGAAGGAAGGCTACAGTGTGACGCAGAAAATATTTAAGTTTATCAACTGAAAAATGAGCATTCAATGAAGCATGGTATAATATCAAATGGAAAAATTCATTTATCTGAAATATATTAAACTACTATTTCTAAAACATGAATTTTTCATATAATTTTGAACTGTATTACTCATTTCATATATTTTTTAGGTTTGAGAGAGTACCCTTTTACCTCCCTACACTCTGAGACTCTAGAGAGCAATACTCTTAAATACTCGTTTTATCCATCTTCCACTCTAATTAGACATGCTAAAAGTGTTCAGATCAGGAGGTGTTCATATCTAGAGGTCTTATATTCACTAGATTGGGAAATGTTCAAAGTTTTCTGATATAGAAGTTTAACTGTATACATAAAACAAATACAATTACCTATAACACTGCTCAGCAAATACAATTTCTCAGATATAGAAATATTAGATAAGAGTTGGCAAGTCTTGTAAAGAATGATCAAAATCATTTATAGATCAATAATATTCTTGTATATTGCCAAATAGGGTTAACCAAGGCCAAATTGACTTGTCCTCACCCTGGCTCAAAATTTACATTTGGTCTTTCTTATTCCATACTACCCTTAGTTTCGTTTCTGCTACGAAAGGAACGATTCAGTGAAAACCATTGTCTACAACAGTTCCAAAACTGGATACCCTGAATCATAATAAGTTAGCAACACTACACTCTGACAATCACAGAGGATTTTACAGTTTTGAATCTAGTGAAATGTAAATGCTCTCAAATGGATCTTTAAATGCAGAATGTTATGATTTTCTAAGTAGAAATCTTATGTCATTATTCTGATACTCATCAAATCTTGTTAAAGCAAATTTTAAAATAATTAATCATAAAAAATTATTAATCATAAAGAATTAATCATAAAACACAATTCAAATCAACATTATTGCCATCATTTCTGGCTATCATATTTATGTTTAGAATGTAAAGAGAGAAGGTGACATTGTTTTGGAGGCTGATGAATCCAGATACTAGGTGACCAATTCTTAGACTCAACACTTCCAGAAAATTTGTTCGTGAATACAGAACAGGAGTCTCAAATTGCCGAAATGAGTGTGAATATTCCATCACATTTATTTTAGATGTTGATTTAGAATATCCTAAGCCTAAGCTTCAAAAGTATTTGCAAATGTAAATAACCGCTGTCACCGAATGGATTTATTTTCATTTTTATGGCAAACTCATTTAGATATGAAAGGAATGGTGGCAGGTACTATTCATATTTAAATGAGTTGGTCATAAAATAGTAGGTTAATCCGTTAGCCGACAGCCGAAAGTTGAATTCGCGAATACGAGGTAAGAAAAATGAGATGATACAAGTAAATCTAGCTTGCATATGATGAGGCTTTTATGCCAGGGATTATATGCTTAGATGTGCTTACTAATATACCTTGCTACTATCACATTTTAGCTGGCCAAGAATATTAAGTGTCTTGAGAGTTCAACAAAATAAGCCATGCTATAAATCTATAATGAGAGGATATCAATGGTAGTGTAAAATCTAAGCTGCATATGAGATTGAGAAGTTGCCACCAACGATTGCAATGAGCTGTTGAGAATTTGAAAATAGGCTTACACCTCCTGCCTACCTTAAAACCCATTTACTCCATTTTTACACCTACTGCCTACCTTAAAACCCATTTACTCCATTTCTACACCTACTGCCTACCTTA